ACATCTGGGAAAAATAAGCAAAGAAAAGAGAGACTCAAATGTAGAAAATTATGAGGCTTGAAGGATCCAGAACTATCTCCAGCACAGATTGGGCCAGGCTGTCCCAGTTTATCGAACAAGTATTTTTAGCTAATTCCTTCTTTCAGTCCTCTTTTAGCCATTCTGCATGTGTCACGATCAAGTTTTCTCCCACTAGCTTTTAAAGAAGGATACACTGTACTTATGGCTAACTTTCTTTGGGGAAAAGCAGATGTTATTTTGCCCATGCATCAAATAAGCCTTTTTCTTGTCGATGTATAGGATAAAACATTATTTCCCTGTGATATCAGTGGTATAATCTCACAAGTTTCAGATGCTTCAGCATCCAATCACAATGTTCTTTTACTTTTACGTAAATAGACAAAACATAAAATTTCAGGACTGAAAGAAAAAAGATCTTAGAAATTATTTTGTCTCTTTATCCTGTATGTATTCTTCAGCCTCCCTGTTGTGTAGTACAATGCCTGATGAATGCAATTTACACAAGGTGAGAGAAACTGGAGGGGCCAAGGTCCTTAAAGGTGGTGGACAGAAAGCAAAGCAGAAGGAAATTATCAGAGCAGAAGAGTAAGGGACCAGGCGTGGACTCCAGGACAGAACCAGCTACAGACTGCAGTAAACCTCTCCTCACTTGAACTGTGGGCGTCAGATACTTTGACCCAGTAACGACAAAGTAAATAAGACAGCGTACAAGTGTCAAAGTTAGGTTTCACTAGAAAAATGGGAAAATATATACTTGTTTATCACATCCCTGACCCACATACACAATGCACGTGTTAATAACAGTGCAAATCGGAGTTATGGCATTGCTAGAGTAGCAATAGCACAAATAATAACGATAGTAATAATACTAACAACAACATCAGGAAAAGATCACTGAATTTGGCCCAGGGAAAATTATTGGAATCCTAGCAATTTATTTACCTTATAAACACTTTCTTTTCTTAAATGAATATTTTGATAGAATACATTGATTGTGAATATACATAATTATGTTTGTAGTTGCTCCTCTCCTTTCTCATGGCATCTGTTATGTCCCTTACTTATATTATACTTTACCATTGTTCGGTGACTTGAGCAAGTTGCTTATCTTCTTCAAGTTTTGTTTCTACTGGGACTAATATCTCTTCCTCCCAGGAGTATCGTGAGCATTAGAAGAGGTAATTATTGGGAGGCTGATTTACAGTTTAGTAATCACGTGTCCTGGTTTCCCCTTCACAGTCAGCATTCAAAGTACAAAGTGTGCTCCTATTTAGTCCAGCTCAGTCCTTGCAACTATCTTGCACACAATTTACTAATATTTTTTTATATAATATTTTCAAGAATTTAGTACAACTAATGTAAGTTCATTTTATACCTGGACAAATGATTATTTTAAAAGTCTATGCTTAATTAAAGAAAACTAGTACTCTCCAAAAGCTATAGCTGTTTAGAGAATTTATGACTTGTCTAATATTTTATATGCATTATTAACTATTGTTTTTCAGGTGTAGGTAAGAATAGTGGGACAATGGATCCTAATTTTGATGTTTCAGAGTTTAAAATATGTATAACCTCTGTGCCTTCCTCTCTTTCTCCCCTTCACTCTCATAAAAACACCACACACACACACACACACACACATACACACACACACTCCTTTCATTACATGTAAATACTCAGTACAGTAGAACTAACTATAAAGCAGTAATCATTAAATTTTTCAAAGATGCTGTTTATTTGGATCATAAACCTTTTTCACCTTCCTTATCCTTTCTCATCCAAATTGTTCCAATTTCTTTAAAATCAAAGAGATTATTGTCCTCCTAACCAGACTAGAGATCCAATAAAATTCTATGCCAGTTCTTACTGATATCACTAGAAGGTATTTTTGGTTTGCTAAGTAGTGTTGTTTTAAATTCTATTTTATTAGTACCTGTCTGCAGTACCTAATGATTACATTCATTATGAGCAAGCAACAGAGGGAAGAGACAATCTATAGAATGGGGAAGACTTTGCCAGCAACTGCTCAAATGGAGGACTAATATTTAGAATATATGAATAATTTTAAAAAGGAATTATTATTGATAAAAATGAATGGTTCAAAATCAAGATTATTACTTCAAGAAGAATAACAAATCTAATACAAAGACCACGCATAATAAGACAGTACAATCTGGGGCAAAAACTTGCGTAATTAACTCAGAATTTTAATACAGAAATAATACTGGTTTTTATATCATTCTTCCTGTCAGGTACAAAATAGTGATGTGAGGAATTATTGTTTTGTCCATGAAAAAATATATATTTAATAAACACAGAAAAATTGCTAAATATATTTTTGTTGTTTTTTAATATAAACCTAATAGGTAAGTATGAAAGTAGTGATAATTTACTTAATTTAGCTATTAAGCATTCTGTCATTATACTTTTAAATATAATTACAAATACATATAAAATATGCAATGTTTAAATGTTTACAAATGTATATAAAATATACAGTTTAAATTTTTAAAAGTTAATATAGTAAAAACAATATTGCCATCTACTCCCCTACTTCCAGATATAGCATCTCACTTTTTGGGGGGTGGTCTCTTTGAGACGGCGTCTTGCTATGCAGTTCAGGATGGCCCAACCCAGGCTGGTCTCGATCTCACAGCGATCCTCCTGCCTCGGTCTCCTGAGTGCTGGAATTACAGGCGTGCCCGGCTGTCACCAGGCCCGGCTGTCCTCTCACTTTGAATACACAGATCCCACAGTTCTTGCCACCTTCTGGAGCAGTTCTGGGAGTCCTCGTTCAAACAACAGCGTGGTGAACGCTGCTGCAAAGTGCCAGTCCATGCAAAGCAGGCTCGGGAAAACACTGTGAACCTTACTTATAGGATCTGTTAACATGTGACTTCTGGTTCTGCCCCAAAGTCAAACTGACCATGAAAGTTCTGTGTTTTGAGTCGATTTATGACACTGAGACAGCCACAACAGCACGGCTAAAGACAGTCACTATCATTATCTAAGGACAGACGGGCTAATAGAGAAAGACAATAAATTCAGGATACTTCAAAAACGAGACACACGGCAAATATAAAAAATGTTTATTATTAGGCTTCAAAATATTCAAATTAAAATGCAATGGCACACTTACCAAAATGACTAAAATTACAAAGACAAAAATTTCAAAATATTGGTAGCTATAGGTGCAACTGAACTCTCATGCCCTGCTTTCAAAAGCTGATAGCCGCTTTGTTAAGCTGTCTTTATCTACTCCAACAGGATTTATCCATGATAGATAGATAGACAGTAGATCTCTCTGTATATCCTACATACTCAAAGTAATGCATACATTTACTCCTAAAAGACATGTCCTTGATATCTGTAGCACCACTATTCATACAAAGGATGAAGTTCCTTAATGTCCTATGATGTTAGAAAGGGTCAATCATTTGGACTATTCACATAGTTGAATATTACACAGCAATGAAAATGAGTGATTTGCCTTCACACACACTCTTCTCATGAGCATAATAGTCAGCAAAAGAAAATAGAACCCACTGTATGATTTAATTTATAGAGTGCAAAACAAAGAAAGGAAGTTACGCTTTTAGAAGTTAAGATACTGTTTGTGTACTATGGGAACAGTGAATAATATTAAAGCAAAATAGGGACAGCAACTTACTCCTACTGCTACTTCAAATTTTTACCTTTACATGAGTGTGAGCTATATGAATATATTCATTTTATAATTCAGTGGGACCATATATAAGAGATGACTAATTTTCTCTACGTATATTTATATAAGAAAATTCAAAAGTTGGGGGATAACAATAATTCTTTTAGATATTATATAATAGGTAAATATTTTTAACATTATGTAATATTTAAATATTCTTTTAAACATTTTATACATTGAAATAATTTATGAAACTTTGTATTTAGTTTTATTTGTGAAGTTATAATTTATAATTATATAAATGTGTATCTTAAAGTACATGTCTTGGCTATTCTACATGTATCCAAATAATTCATCAAAATTTCTTCCATTACTAGCAAAATCTTCCTTGTAAGACTAAGGAATATCTCTTTGCTTCCCTATGAGACTCATTTTTCATAATCCTATGGTACATGTATATAAAAAGTCCAACCAAAAATCACTCCATAGAGTTCCCAAAGGTGGGTACTATCTACAACCATTTAAAATACCATCTTCAAAATACATGTCAAGAATCTGCATACTCATTCAAACAGTTTTCATCAATTGCCCTCATGAAAAATATAATTACTTCTTACATATAAACTTTATGGTACAAATGTTCAAATTATCTGGATTTTCCATATTTATTACAAGCTATACCTTTAACATGTTTCCTATTTAAAAACAGATAAACTCTATAAATTATTAAAAATTATAACTTTCATAACACAAATAAATATATACATGTATATTTTTGTAGTCAATTATTGTGTAAATAAATAGTCCAAAACTTGCCTTAGAAGTCACTTATTAGTTCTTATTTTACTTCCACAATAACATGTTACTTTCAGTTCCCTGAAGCTTGGACATCAAGTCTTCATGCAGGAACCTACTTTTGATAAATCTTGACAGGTGATAAAATAAGTTTTACTTTAAATAACTCGCTGTCTCTATTCATTGGCATCAAATAGACCTTGCTATGAAAAACTTAATATATAAAATTGTCACTCATGTCCAAAGTATTTTTTCTGTTGTATAAATCTTTACTTTTCTGTACCATGTCTTTAAATTCACTTAAATACCTATGAAAGACAATATCAAATAACTCTATTACTATAATATACCCAAAATGTAAACTTTTTGATAGAAAATATCTCATAGTTTATTCAACATGTATGATAAAATATCAAGTGTATCATCCCAAGTCTCTTTATTATTAAAAACTAGACACTATTAAATGGAATTTTAAAAAAGAAAATCACTCTAAAATTAGGTATTTTAATTACCATCTTACCGTAAAATCACAGGTTAGGAATTCAAAGAAAAGGTTCACCACCCTGAGACCTAGAAAAGTACAACCAAAAATATTCTGTATTAGTTTTGATGTTCAGTTTTCATCCAAACACATGATAGTGATTCAATATTGAGAAATTTTATTCTATGAGTAATTAATGTACATTTAATTTGACAGTTTTGACTACAATATTTGTCTGAAAAAGCACTAGCACTTACATCAGCTTACATGAAATTATTGAGATTTAAGATTAATTGCTTTAATTTAGGTTGTTTAAAGCAAGGATGAAAAACAAGCAGAAAATTTTTATGATCTTATTTCCTTCTTGTGGGATTTATGGGTGATTGATATTTTAGCAGGCATAAAATATTTTGCATATATTATGTCACAGAACAAAATCTACTACACTCAGTTAGCAGTATCAAGTGTACACATATTCACCTACATACACACAAATGTGATCATCATATATTAATCCTATTTTTATACTTGCTACATCTGTCTTAATCATTGAATAATATAGACCATTGTACTGCATAGTACTCCATAGTTTATTACACATGCAAAATTGCTGCAGGCATTAGTTTTAATAAAAATGTGGTAGGATGCTGTCTATAAATCTAATCACTTGTGAACATTATCGATCACCTTATTTAAGAGTTGCTGCAGTTTAGCAAAAAATTTATTATTTGGAAGCAGTTATACTATTTAACTCTTAGAACAGATTATCATACATGGAAGTGAATCAGACATTACAATACGCAATATTATCCTAGAAGTATATCAAATACTTAAGTTCATCTCATTTCATTACCTCAAATTCTATGAGATATTTTGAACAAACTTATTGTTTTCATTAAAAATCGACTACTGGGATTAACAAGCATGTCCAAGGCCACCCCTAGTAAGTGACAGAGCTGAGTTTCAAAGGCTAGCTCTCCGAATTCATAGTTGGATGCAGCTGTCTATGTCCTAAACTTTGAGTAATGATGTTGAAGATAATGATACAGAGAGTATTATCTATATTCTCTTATTTTGTTATGTAATTTTGTTTTTACTTTTTCATACAATAAAAATATAAAAATTTGTTTATGTCTAAGTAGGTAAGTGCTGTTCTATTGAACAAAAAACAACATATTATCTCTGTTCTTCATAAAGAAGTCATCAGTACTCTTTTATTCTCTAGGAAACTGTTAATGAGTGCTATAGTAGTAGGTACTCTACTGTGTGAGGTGTAGATAAGTGTAATAGAAGATAATAAAAGAGAAATTGCAATACATTGACTCTATTAGGTCAATGGTTAGTGTGCATTTTAAAGCTCATCTTGCTCTTTTTCAGAGAACCCTTGCTTTTCAGATGAATTTATGATCACATGGAGTAAGAGACCGATTGCTGGCCTCAGTACCAAGATATTGAGTACTGGCAAAAGTATGTATGTGGACACAGTCGATAAAGTTGAGGAAGTGTCACTGAATGTAAAAAGCTTGTATGTCATCTTTGTTTCATCCTTTTCTTTGGGGGTTGGAATACAGAATTAATGCCTACAGCTGTAGCAATTGTTTTATGCCATCAAAAGCTAACACACTCTCTCTGGTCTCCAACACTCCCAAACAGAGCAAGGAGATAGGAAGACACAGCCTGGTGTGGCACCTCAGACTTGTGTAGAATGTTTCTTCAATGAGAGTGAGAAATAAATTCTACCGAAACAAAATGGATTTGTTGTTATCAGAGGATAAAAGCTGATAGGAATGGAAAATGGCAACCAGGGGTCATAGGATTCCTTCTAGTGTCCTATAGAATTCATTCCATAGCATATTCTTTACAGACCTCCAATTTGACTGAGTTTACTAGCATTATTCTATGAAATAGAGTAGTACATATTGGGAGAAATTAAAATAACATTTAAAGTTATTATCTCTGTCTTCCAAAGTCTAAAATCTACTGAGGTAGGTATTCATAAATTAACTAACATTAAGACTGAACATTAGCTTTCCAGGGATATGGGAAGGATTTCTTGTATAATTGAAAATTACTTGAAACCTACAACACAAAAAGTACCTGATTAGAAATTATATTTGAAAGTGTTGCTGGTAAGTATTATAGGCTAGAAGTTATCCTGTAGCCTGTTGGCAAAGGTCCCTTTGCTATCCTTGTAGATGAATGTATGCCAATTTTTAAATTTTATTCATAAAATCTAAAATGTCTATGTAATGTGTCATCCTCATTAAAAATTTATTAAATGAAAATAGTGGTTGCAATGATTTTCATTGTTAAAGACATTGAAAAACAGCATTGAAAAGATATTTCAATAGTGGATTCATGTCTTGTAGCTGTCTAACTTGCCATACATTGCTCAACAGAGCCGGATTTGAATGCCTTAATCCAGAATTTACACATCCTTATATGTAATGTTTTGTCTTCTGAATATCACAGTTCTGAAAATGCAGCATTAAATCATTCAAAGCACTAAGATTTTATAAAAAATAATTGGATGTGTTGATATGGTTGACAATAGTAACCTCAAATTACAGATGAGTGTATTACAAACAATTCTTGTGAGTGTAACGGTCATATTTCTAAACTAACACTCTGCCACACTAATTGGTAATGCTTAAGGAAATGAAAATGCTCATTATAAGATGTGCCATATTATGGATCTTTATTTACTTGAGAAGAAACTAAAATAGTAAGTTGTAATTCTCAGAATAATACAATCACCTTTTAGTTACTGGAAATAGTCATATTGGAAAATCTGTAAGAATAAGTGAAAGTTCACAGAATCAGTTTGACCTTTATGTAAATCAATGGGTAACCATGACAACACTCATTTCCATCTCACTTCAAAATTGCACCATGTGAGATAAGCTTACAACTGTCTCGTTGCCATCAAGACTACCATATCCGGGGCTGGGGATTTAGCTCAGCGGCAAAAGCGCCTGCCTGGCATGCGCAAGGTCGTGAGTTCGGTTCCCGGTACCGGAGAAAAACCAAAAAAAAAAAAAAAAAAAAAAAAAGACTACCATATCCATGCCCTTCTCCATCTGTAAAGAGAGAGCAGTATTTGGAGGCCTCTGGTCTCCTTGTAGCTTCACTCTATGGTTGGCTACTTCAGTAAAGCTGTGGAAAGTACCCTGTGTTCTCTTATTTCTTTATCATATTTTCCCTCCAATTGTTAATTCCGAGGGAAAAGTAGAATAAACAGCCATATATCTCAAAAACTGCACACAAGAATCACTTGAATTGTTAAAATACAGATTCTCCCTGATAGGTCTGGTCATATTATAAATTCAGAATTTCAGGCTCCACTTCCGAGAGATAGATCAGAATATTTAACAATGTGGGCAGGCTGTTTAAATCTTTTTAAGGTTCAGGTTCTTTATTTCTAAGATGGGCTAGTCCTCGATCATGTATCTGAAGTGTCCCACCACCGCTCTCTCCTTAAACTTTTCTCTCTTCTTTGAAGTTCTCTCTCTCCTTAAACTTCCCTTATTCAATTAAATGATGATGTTTCATAAAATCCTCTCTGGATTCTAATATCTGGAGAAGAAAGATGCTATATTGAATTTTTTCTGCCATTTATATTGTTTTGTTTTGTTTTTTTGCTATACTACCACAGAGCTGTAGTATTTGTACTTCATGATATTTTGCAAAAATTGCTTATACTTTATTTTCCTAATATCTACTAAAGTCATATGTTGTCTACTTCCTCTCTTTCTGGATATGCTTTTCTTACATTTTTAACTGGATGATTATTCACATAGGAAATTTCAAGTTTCCAACCCTATACTTCAACACTATTTTTATACCTTCATCCATTCCTCTTGAGTTTATTTCTAAGAAAGGGTGTGTTTCTTCCTAACAATCTTATTTGCATTCCCTTCTGCTAGTCCTGAATTACAACAGATCATTGGGCTTTGTTTAACACCAACAAATTTCTCATTCCTTTTGTTCTTTTCTTTCTAACTACAATTTTAAGTATTACTTTTACAGAAGAGCTCATCTTTGACTATCCTAACTCTTCAACCTATTTTCCAATGTCCTCTTGAATGGATACTCTGTACTGACTTCTGATGTCTTGAAATCCTAACAACTCTGATCATGATATATTAGATATTTCCAATGATACCAAGATATCAAGTCCCATGCTACTTTTTATGTGTGTGGTAGTGGAGATGGAAGTCAGGACCTTTCCACTGGCAACATCCTTAGCCCTTCCGTTATTCTGAGATGGGATATTTCTTAGTTGCTAAATTGCCCAGGCTGAGCATGAATTTTCAATCATCCTGACTCAGCTTCCCACAACGCTGAGACTATATGCTTGCAACACCACATCGAGCTCCATGTTCCTTTCTAAATCATCACAATGGAAGGTTTGCACCATTCAGTCAGTGTGAAACAATTCCGCCTTTGTGACAGTCAGTTCTTCTAAGGATCATACCACTGCCTTCCTGGATTTTCAAATAAATTAGTTTTGGTTTGTTTGCTTTTGTTTCATATTTGGATGATGATGTCCTCCTTACAGCCCTTTCTTTGTTTTTCTTTCCTTCCTAGACCCTTTAAAATATACAGTGTTAAAGCACGTCTGTCCTCTGTACCAAGTACGGTGCCCATGGAGAGAGATGCACTCAGGCGTTTCGGAAGGAATGGACGAGTGAGTGCATGAACATATTTTATGATCCACTCTTTGCTCTACATGGTCCCGTGAAAACTTGCCCTCATTAATTTGGTTTTACTTATTTTCCTTGCAAGGATGATTTCCGAATCAGTATTTCTAGATCTCAGTGTACTTCTCAGTTTCAGTGCTATTTTCTAAATGTCTTGCTGGATATCTCTGCCTACACACTTCCCAGTTATTTTGAACTTAAAATGTACCAAACAAAATGTGTCCTGTTGGTGCCCAAACCTCTGTACTTCCTGAATTCCTACTTTCTGTCACTGCCAGTTCTAACATATTATTCACTCATACCCCAATGGTGAGTTACTGCTCATTCTTCCTTTTTTTCACTGTCCCTTCATCCCTTCACTTCTCACTCTCAGAAATTCTACGTCT